GTGATCCAAGAGATTGGCCAGTATATGGGTTTAGCATTTAGGGTTTAGGGTTTAGGCCGTAGTCTTAACTCCTTACTTATATAGGGGATTGTATAGGGGACTACTATAGGCGTTATAACAGGGGATAGTAGGAGCTTAGACTATGGCTCGAATGGGGCAAAAAGGTTGTAAGGGAACTCAGGGGTTCTTGGAGAGCCGCTTCCATCTCTTATCATTGGGGGTTTTAGGGTTTAGGGTTTAGGGTGGCACCTTGCCAGCCACAAGTTACGGAATACCGGGCACAGGAAGGCTTTCTAGTTTTGGGGACGCATGGTAGTAGGGCCCACGGTTGTCCTAATGACCGTAAACCCAAGGCAGTTTAGGGTTTGGGGTTTAGGTTCTGGGTGCCACAATCTAAGCCTCCACGTGCAAACCCAGTCACATTCAAAACCCAAGTTCTTCTGGATGAAACGTGAAACCCTACACCACTGTACCCTACCCGAGGGGTCCAAGTACCCTAACAGTATATGTCAGCCCCAAAGCATCCATGTAGGAACTAAGTTGTCCACCCCAACCATATACATAAGCTATAGTCTAAACTCTTAGTATCCGCCTTAATAAGCCCTATAACTGTCCCATGTATAATCCCCTAAATTCCCCTTTAAGGAGTTTAGACCCTAACCCTTAACCCTATACAATCATATGCTCCAAGCCTAAACGTAGGTACTTGGACCCTTCAGGCGTCACCCATTTCAACTCCTTGGTACCGTCCAGGGGATCTACCCAAATGCAGAGATCCGATAGCGGGAGGGCCACGTCTCCTACGCAGAGTTTAGGGTTTAGGGATGAGAGGGTTTAGACGGATTAGCGGGTTTAGGGTTTGGAGGGATTCGAGGGTTTAGGGTTTGCGGTTTAGAGGGATTAGGTGGCTTAGGGTCAAGTTCATTGTCGCGGGTTGGAACTACAGGCCTTTGTATGGGCTGAAACATGGAAGCCCAATTGACTGTTTGGAGCTGTGAGCCAGTATGCAGCTACCGCACTCTTGCGCCCTTGTTAATCTCAGAGGAACCTTGAGTACTTCCAGGTGGGGGGAGTGCAGGACTAAACCCTAAACCCTAAACCCTCAACCCTAAACTGTTTCAGGAGTTATAGAGGCGCGCGGAAGGGAACAGAACAGCTCGTGGATCCTCACAGGGTGATGAGCACAAGTGTAATCTATAGTCCTTATAGGGGCATAGTATATGTGCTATAGTCTAGACTCCTAGTATCCCCCTTAATAACCCCCATAATAGTACCCTATAGAATCCCCTATATAACCCCCTTTGAGGAGTTTAGACAGCTCATATGGTGACAATAATTCGGGCTCGAACATGACCCAGGAGCAGGGCAAGCACGTAAGTAGCTATGGCCCCTTGTGCTTTGGAAGCTCCTTGTAGGGGCTGCGTAAGCAGCCAAGTAGTGAGGAAAGGCATCCCTAACAAAATCACCATGAAAACTTGCACTGGCATAGACTCTGAATATACACGCTTCTACAGTTATTCCTCCGGAAGCCTGGATGCAAGAAAACACGCACCTCCCATGGGCCGCTAGTATCTGCAAAGGGGGCTTGGGATTCGAGGTCTGGGTCACCTAAGCAGAGAGTAAAGAAGCTCATAACGTGGGTACTGCCCCCACTCAGTAACAGTTGGATAATATCTATAATATCGTTATATATGGCCCTTAATATGACCCCTAATATATACTTTTAATGGGTGGGGGCAGGACCCAACTCATAACCACAGTCCTTCAGGGGAAAGCTGCCAACATCGGCAGTAGCTTTCACTGATGGGGAGGGCATGCAGATGGCCGGTAGTTTTCAAAAATGCTGCCCTGAACTCGAGTACTCTCTGGGAAAAAACTTTACCAAGATGATGCCCTTTAGTCCTAAATCAGGAGGACCCCTTATGATGCCTTTGTAGCCCTTGCACTCTGAGTTTTGAAGGGATACCCACCCCAAGCTCCAAAATACCCAGATCTAGAGAGTAGCGTATATAAAATACTATACCCCAAAAGGAGGATAGAATCTTACTCTATAATGGGTATTATAGTATCCCCAAATAAACGCGGAGCCTGCATCCGGCCAAACGCCGTGCAGCAGCTCTGCCGAGGGCTCGCGGATTTCGATCTCGTCGCCTCCTGTCTCTTCGAGACCGAGATCGCCCTCCTGATCCCACAGACATATTTGGGCCCTCAAGTAGCTATGGGCTTTGTACTTACAATGTGAAAGAAAATGGAAACTAGTATAATAATCTGGGTTGCTTTTAAGGAACTTAAATTAAGTTACTATATTGACAAAACCCTATTATTTACTATATATACCCATTATGGTAACTTAATTTAAGTTCCTTAGCAGCAAGCCAGTAATAGGGGTATGTATTGGGGTTATATATTTGGGGATGGCACTTCTTCAGCTTAGCTTTCAAGGCTAAGCTTCAAGGCCTAAGGGATGGGGTTTCAGTATGTTTCAGTTATAGGGGCTTAGGGTTTAGGGTTTAAGGGTTTAGGGTTAAGGATTTAGGGTTCAGGGTTTAGGGTTTAAGGGGGTTTAGGGTTCAGGGTTTAGGGTTCAGGGTCTAGGGTTTAGGGCTTAGAACGCCACAGGGGAACCTTGTAATGCACAAAAAGTTCAGAAAATCCATGTAAAATGAAAACGAAAACGTTGTACTGCACAAAAAGTTGAAAATTGTTCTTGAAAAACCTTACCAACTGATGCAATGCACAAAAAGCTCAAAAATGCTCATTCAAAAAGCTTACCAAATGCTGTCTGTAATGCACAAAAAGTTCAAAAAAATCAATGGTTTCGGGACTTATGGCTGGAAGGTGCCAGAAGCATGCAATTTTCGAACTTTCTGCGCATTACAGCATTTGGTGGCCTCAGATACCACGAAATGCTGGAGTACACAAAAAAGTTCAAAAATTCAGAAATTTCCTACTAGACACCAGAAGCACTTTTGAGCCCAAAAAGGCTTCTATATAGATACTCTGGGCCCCAGTTTGGGCGCTTTGGCTTTGATTTTAAAACCCAAAACCCTCAAAACCTGAGACCCTAAACCTTAAACCCCAAACCCCAAACCCTGAAACACTGAAACCCTAAACCCGAACCCTGAAACCCTAAACCCCAAACCCTGAGCCCTCCTCCCCCACCACGCGCAGGGAGGCCCCATAGAGCGCGCGAAGGTTCTCGACCACGCAGCGCTGGGCCTGAAGGGTGGCGTAGGGTTGATATGGGGTTTAGGGTTTAAGCTTGAGGTTAGGGTTTGGGGTCTAGGGTTTAGGGTTGGGGGTTTACCAAAACTAGGGGTACCCCTATAGGGATTATAGGGGATATTTAGGGTTTAGGGTGTCCCAAAAATCAGCGATACCTTTGGAGGGATTACAGGGTATATATGGTGCAGTTTAGGGTTTACAGCAGGGTGTCTCAAAATTGGGGGATGCCTTCCGTATAAGAAGGATTATCATGTTTAGGAGTCGCTATTAGGGTCCCCCTCTTCATGGAAACTGCCATATGAGGTTTTGCACATGAGCTACAATCAATGTTGTCTACGTAATTTAATGGACATGGTTCCTTATTAGGGACGAAAGTAGGGCCTATTGAAAACTGCAAGAAGAACCCCTATGTCCTCCCTGAATGGTCCCCTTGTAACCTTCATATTGACTTGACAGTAACTCATATGAGGCTTCGGGGCTATAGCCCCAAAGTCTTCCTGGTGCTTTGTAGGGAGTCAAGGAAGGAAAGGGAAGGAGCTTTCAAAATCTTAGAGAACAAACTATAAGGGCTACTACAGGAATACGTTCCTTCCTTCCCCGCTAACCACCCTACACCCTAGACTTCGAAACCCTCAATCCTAGACCATAAATAATGAAGTGGCCTCCTTAAATCTTAAATCTTAAGTCCTAACCCTGAACCATGAATAAGGAGCCAGCCTACATGTTCTTTTCCAACTGCTAACCACAGTTTAACAACTAACCTTCCCTTTTTCAGGGCAACCCTAAATCCGAAACCCTGAAACTTAACCCCAAACCTTAAACGCCAACCACAAGTAAGAGAGCTTCGAGGGCGAGCCTGGCGATCCGCCACAGTTTGCGGATCGAAGTTGCCAGTGCCTGAGCCTCGGATTTAAGGTTTAGGGTTTAGGGCTCAAGGTGTTAACTTTAGGACTTATAGGGCTTCAGGTTTGCAGCTTAGGGGTTTAAAAAAACAGACTTTGCGGGCTTAGGGCTTGGGTTAAGGATTTATGGCTTACATGTTTAGAGCTTCAGGTTTAGTGATGCTGAGTAACGGTTTGGGGTTTGATTGGGTTTGGGATTTAGTGGTTGAGGTCAATGATAACACTCCCGCCACAAACTGTAACACGATCCATAATGGCAATTCTCGGGTCGCTTTATAACCCCCGGCTTGCTGTACATCCGTGCTTTACCGGTAACAGTGGGATGGGGGATTGCTGAAATTTGGATCTAATCCAAACCCACTTCTTCCTGATACTACTGGAGCCCTAATCTCAACTCCGAGTATCTGCCTTAATAAGCCCTATAATCCTCCCCTAAATAATCCCTCTATAATGCCGTGACGGAGTTTAGGCTTTAGCTCACATACCATTTGCGTGGAAACAGACTTGAACAGAGATGGGAAGGGATCCTTCTGTAGATGGTTCCATCCTGAATTCAGACCAAGTAATTAGATGAGAATATACGCATGTGTAACTCTAAACCCTACATCCTAAATAGCAGGCAGATCGGTAGGAGGAAAAATGCAAAACGCCATGACCCCAACAGAACTGGGAACATCACGCAGCGAACAACCCCTGATAGTAACCATGACAATATCGTTCAGAAGATTGATACCGTCGACGCATGTGATTTGAGAATTTCTCCGACTATAGCCTTAGCATAGACCCCCATGGTCCGTGTGTCCCCTAAACCCTAAATCTAAACCCCAAACCCTAAACCCCAGATTCCCTAGATCCCACATGCTAAGCCCTGAACCTTAAAAAATACTTTTCTCAGACCGCGCCCGAGGAGCCCTTGTCGTGCAGCCGTAATGCCGCCAGGCCCTCCTCTGTGGAGGCCTTGTCCTGGGTTTTGAGGATTTTGCGGGCTTGGTTGGGGAGTAAGATTTAGGTTTGAGGGTTCGGCGCTTAGGGTTAGGTTTTGGGGTCGGGGGTTTGGATGTTTGGGGGTTTGAGGTTTGTTGACCTTCGCAGGTTTGAGAGGGCTGAAGTAAGGGTTTGGCGGGCTGCTTGTGATGATTTCTAGGATGTATGTTTTGCAGGCTGCGGGCGTAGAGCCTGGTCTTTGCGCTGCAACATCTTTGTTTTCTTGGGGGGTTGCGTGGCATTCTGAGGTCCTAGAACCCTAAACGCTCAACCCTATATATGCGTCAGCATTCACG